CTATCAATCTCTTGAAGTGCAACGCAATTTTTGAATTCTTCTTCTGTTTGCCCGTTAGCATAATATTTACATTTTACTAGTTGGAATAGATCTGGAGGAGGCTGATAGTAAACCAAAGTTTGGAAGTGAATGTGCTTTTTGTCTTTATCTGTTATTGGGATGCCTCGTTCGAGGGGACGGCCTCACACCTGAGGAGCACTTGGCCAAAGCCAGGGTCCTTCAAGAAACTCGGGTCTGTTTCTTCGCTTCGGTCAACAAGAATTGGTTGGTGGAGAAGGCCCATCCGCTGGGTGGAAGCACCACGTCCTAATTAAATCTATATATTCCGATGGCTTTAAGGAAGTGATGCATGTTAGCTGTGAAAATAATCTGTAAATCACCCCATTTGCAGTCTCAGTTCTTTTCCAGAGCCTTTACTAAGCCCTGCCATTATTTACTAATTCTTTACTAAACCTTTACTAGGCCATGCCTTTCTTTATGAACCCTTAACAAACTCATTACTGACTCTTTACTAAGCCATGTCATTCTTTACTCTTTACTAAGCCACGCCATTCTTTATTAACCCTTACTGAATCTTTACTAAGCCATGCTATTTTTTTACTAACCATTTACAAAACCTGTACTAAGCCACACCATTCTTTACTAACCATTTTCAGAAACTTTACTAAGCCATGCTTTTTTACTAACCATTTACAGAACTTTTACTAAGCCATGTCATTTTTTTTACTAACCCTTTACTAACCATTTAAAGAACGTTTATTAAGCCATGCCATTATTTGCTAATCCTTTACTAAATCTTTACTAAGCCATGCCATTCATTACTAACCCTTTATAGAACCTTTACTAAGCCATGCCCTTTCTTTACTAACTCTTTTCTGAACATTTACTAAGCCATGCCAATTTTTTACAAACAGATAACAGGCAATCAGAGTTGGAAGGGACTAACCCTTTACTAAATCTTTACTAAGCCCTTAACCCTTTGTTAAGCTTTGACAGAACCTTTACTAAACCATGCCATTCTTTACTAACACTCTCCTGAATGTTTACTAAGCCATGCTATTTTTTACTAACCCTTTACTGAATCTTTACGGAGCCATGCCCATCTGGGCTTGTTTTGACTGCAGAAAGAAGGCCGGCAGGCTGAAACAAGGAGACATACATAAGCAAGCAAAGAGAAGGAAAGCTTACTCGAAAGCTACACGGGGGAGGTTGCGTCTCTGGGGAGGATGCAGGAAGCGCTATGCATAAACACAAGTGTGTGTCCCCATTCATTTTCAACCACCGCAATTCCTGCAGCTGGTCTCCGGCCTCCAGAAGGGCCGGTGCAACTCTCTATAGGTTGCAAACCTTTACATTATAAGAGCGTGTGGCTAGGACAGGCATTCTTCCGGTTTAGAAAAGAAATATTCATCATAAAATCACAGAGACGGTATATTTCCTGATCCGCTATATAGGTAATCCTCAACTTACGTCGACCACAACGGACCCCCAAATTTCTGTTACTAAGCGGGGACAGTTCTTAAGTGAATTTTGCCACACATTGCCACCTTTCTCTCCAGAATCACTGCGGTTCTTAAGTTAATATGTGAACCCGGCTTCCCTCATCGACCCGGCTCGTCCAAAGGTCACCAAAAGGGAAATCACATGACCCTGGGAAAACACTGCAACCGTCATAAGTACATGCCAGTAGCCAAACCTCCGAATTTTGCTCTCGCGCCCACAGCGATGGTGCAACGGGAAGCATGCAAAATAGGCACGTCCATTTTTTTAAGGGTTCGGGTGTAACTTTGAACAGTTACTAAACGAACGGTTGTAAGCAGGGGCGGGGCTGCTGGGGGTTCGCAGGGGTTCAGGAGAGACCCCAGCTAAGATTCTGCACAGTTTTGACCCCGCCCACCCCACCCCTCTCCTCCCGGTAATCCCCATGCGGCCTGTTTTGGAGGCAGGGAAGTGCAGGGTGCACATGGCGGGCTTGGGAAAGGCAAAAAATGGGATTCCTGGAAGTTCGGGAAGGCCAGAAATGGGCCCATTTCTGGCTTCTAGAGAGCCTCTGGAGCCTCTGGAGCCTGGGGAGACAGTTTTCTAGCTTCCAGAGAGCCTCCAGAGACTGGGGAGGACATTTGCATGCTCCCAGAGGCCTGAGGGAAGCCTCCGGAGCCCGGGGACAGTGAAAAACAGGCTTCCAGAAGTTCGGGAAGGCCGGAAATTGGCCCGTTTCCAGCTTCCAGAGAGCCTCCAGAGCCCGGGGAGGACATTTTCACCCTCTCTCTTCTATTCTACTCTACACTCTACTCATATTCTACTCTCTTCTCCTCTTGTTTTCTACCCTCCTCTCTCCTCTATTCTACTTTCCTCTATTCCTATTCTCCTCTCCTCCTATCCTACTTTACTCACCTATTCTATTCTACTCTACTCTCTATTCTACTCTACACTCTACTCCTATTCTACTCTCCTCTCCTCTATTCTATTCTCCTCTATTCCTATTCTACTCTACACTCTCCTCCTATTCTACTTTACTCGATTCCTATTCTATTCTACTCTCTTCTATTCTACTCTACACTCTACTCTACTCCTATTCTACTCTCC